AGCTTTAAAGACAGCAAAGTTTCCTAGTCAATCCAACTTTAGGCATCCACAACCTGATTCCAGACCTTCAGAACCATTTCAGGGCATCTATATTGGGATTTCAATAGTCCACAAATGGCTTTCAGACCTGTGGATCTATGCTTATAAGGAATACATATTGTATTTTTGTTTCGAGTTTATTAGAGAGGAAACCTCGTAAGTAAATGGTTAGTAGATAAGGCCTAAATCTATATAAATCTAAAACTAGTTCAAACGGTTTAAAACTAAATTTTAGACATATCCATGCAATGTCAAACCTATTGAACTCATGAAACAGTCTGGACCTAAGTCAAAAAGATGTTCTAGCTTTCAAGCATTGAAATGTAGGTTTTTCCCTATTGGATTTCACGTAGATCCCTGACTCAGCTTACATTATGAAGGTTATTTTGGGAATTTTATTTATTTATTTTTTTCTGTTAGCTTCTTGTTAATCAGTTTTGTATTTGTCAATTTTCTATTGGTTAAGTTTGTTATGTATAGAAAGGTGAATATTCCTTCTGTCGTGGTCATAGGCAGTATATAAATAGGCTGGTTCCTTTGTATATATTTTGTTCGATTCTGATGATTATAATGGAGAATTCCCAAGTTCATATATCATTTTCTTTCTTCTCTAACTTTCATATTTAAATTCTTATATGGTATCAGAGCAGGTGAACCAAATCAACCATGACTACAGAAATTCCTTCCACAGATTCTTCCCCTGCTTCTCCATCCAAAATTTCTAACCCCTTCCTCAATTTCACCGATGTCACCAATCCTTACCGTCTTGACCATGGTGATAATCCATCGATCTCTTTTGTTCCTGAACTTCTTACAGTTGACAATTACACTACTTGGTCTAGGGCAATGCGTAGAGCCCTTAGAGCCAAGAACAAATTAGGCTTCATCAGTGGTGCTATCACCAAGCCAACTAGTTCAGACGACCCTTTGTTTGAGGCCTGGGAACGTTGTAATGACCTTGTGACCTCCTGGGTGCAGAATTCCATCTCCCCATCAATCAAGTCTAGCATAGCTCTTGTGGATGATGCTGCTGAGCTGTGGGATGAACTGAAGGAGCGGTTTACTCAGCAAAATGGTCCACGAATCTTCCAGCTCAAGAAAGCCCTTGCAAGTTTGCAACAGGAGCAAGATTCAGTAAGTGTTTATTATGGGAAGTTGAAATCAATTTGGGATGAGCTCAATCTGTTCGACCCTTTACCTGACTGCACCTGTGGAAATTTAACTACACTTTCTAACAGATACCAAAGGGATTGTGTGATATAGTTCTTGATGGGTTTAAATGATTCATACACGAACTCACGAGACCAGATTATGCTCCTTGATCCTTTACCCTCAATTGGGAAAATCTTATCCATGATCCAGCAACAAGAAATGCAGCACCTGATGCTTAACAACCTATCATCACCTAATATGATGGGCTTAGCTAGTAGGAAGTTTCATCCCATTCCTAAACCAAGTGTTAAGACTGGCCAACCCAACAACCGTGACCGTCCTTATTGTACTCACTGTCATGCACCAGGGCATGATCTAGAGACATGTTTTAAAGCAGGGAATGCTGAGCCACCAATCTGTACTCATTGCCATATAAGTGGTCATGTAGTTGGGAAGTGCTACAAACTTCATGGGTATCCACCTGGGCATAAGTACTTCAACAAGGGAAAATCTCCCAGACTTTTTGCTAATGCTGTCATTACAGATCAAGAGGATGATTTAGATTCAAGAGTTGGTCTTACAAAGGGACAGTATCAACAATTGCTTTCTCTGTTGCAGCCAAAGGACAGTCCAATAATGCCTTCTATGTCCACCAATCCATCCAAGACAGCTTCTCATCCTGTAGCTAATGCAGCAAAGGCCCCTACCATGTCTGGTATATCTATCTCTTGTTCCACTTCTTCTGAAAGACTTTTATTCTCTGCCGAAACACCTTGGATTATTGACACAGGTGCTACAGACCACATGGTCTGCAGCATCTCCCTGTTTACTACCATCAATTCAGAAGTATCTTATTCTGTCAAGATGCCAAATGGTGATGAAGCACTTGTCACACACGTAGGAACAGTTCATATCACTGGAAAACTCGTTCTAGAAAATGTTTTATGTGTCCCGTCTTTTACATTTAACTTGATTTCTGCTAAAAGACTTGCCCACTCACTTACTTGCTGCCTTATTTTTTTTTCTGATTGCTGTTTCCTCCAGGACCTTTTGTCTTGGACAACGATTGGGAAGGGTAAAGTGAAGAATGGACTCTATCAATTGCAGCATGCTAAAGTGTCTCCTGAAGCTCTTGTTGACAACTTTTCTAAGTATTTAAATAAAAATATCTTTGTTTCCACTTCTGTACTTGACAATAGTTCTTCCATAGATCTTTGGCATTATAGACTTGGCCATACACCTTTGTCTAGGATATCTTTGATCGATGATCCTGTTGTAAGTACTGACATTAATGAAAATCCTTGCTGCATTTGTCCCATGGCTAAACAACATCGCCTTCCTTTTCCTACCAGCACACATATGAGCACCAGAATTTTTCAACTTATTTCTTGTGATATATGGGGGCCTTGTTCTGTTCCTGCACATGATGGATCCAAGTACTTTCTTACTATTGTGGATCATTTCTCTCGAAGTACTTGGGTCTATTTACTAAAAACAAAATCTGAAACTCGCCACTGCATAGAGACTTTTTGTAACCTTGTTGAGAACCAGTTTGATGTCAAAATCAAAATCTTAAGAAGTGATAATGGGGCAGAGTTTAAAATGACAGATTTCTTTTGTAAAAGGGGTATTTTGCATCAAACTAGCTGTGTGGAAACACCACAGCAAAATGCTATTGTTGAACGTAAGCACCAGCACCTTTTAAACATTGCGAGAGCACTTAGGTTCCAAGCTTCACTTCCTATGAAGTTTTGGAATGAATGCATTTTAACTGCTGCTTACATTATCAATAGAATCCCTTCTCCTGTGCTGTCAAATAAAACCCCCTTTGAGTTACTTTTCAATAGAAAACCAACCTATGGTCACATGAAAGTATTTGGTTGCTTGTGTTTTGCTTCAACTATTTCACAAGGCAGAACTAAATTTGATTCCCGAGCTAGAAAATCCGTCTTTCTTGGCTATCCTTTTGGTGTTAAGGGATACAAGTTGTTTGACCTTGATACCAAGACCTTTTTCATCTCACGAGATGTTGTTTTTCATGAAATAGTCTTCTCCTTCCACACCATCACACTTGACAACCTGCCGCTAGAAACTACTAACAACAATAATTTCTATCAACTTTCTCCTCAACCATTTCCTTCTAATGTTGAGCAGATTAAGTCAGATTTTTCTCCTTCTCAATCTTCAAACTTAACACCTTTAGATCTTCCTTCTACTCCTGTCTTCATTAATAGCCCTGTTCAAACTTCTGAGGTAGTTGCTTCCTCTCCTACTTTTGATTTACCTCATACTACAGAAGAAATCACCTAAGAACAATTACCTATCCGCAAGTCAACAAGAGTTAGAAGAGCACCACAGTACCTGCAGGACTTTCATTGTCAACAAGTGCACTTCACTTCTCCAGACCAATCATTGACCAGGCAATTGTCTTCCAATACAGGTACAAATTTTCCTTTAACCAATTCCTTATCATATCATCGTTTATCTCGTAATTATGCTGCTTTTTCAACTTCTATTTGCTCTCAAATTGATCCTCAAACATATCATCAAGCTGTTAAGGATCCGGGTTGGTGTGAGGCTATGAAGGCTGAATTGGATGCTCTTGAACTCAATCAGACTTGGGAATTAACTGATCTGCCACCTGGTAAGGAACCAATAAAGTGTAAGTATGTTTACAAGACCAAATTTAATTCAGATGGGACGGTTGAAAGGTTAAAGGCCAGATTAGTGGCCAAGGGCTATACACAACAAGAAGGGATTGACTATCACGAAACTTTTTCTCCAGTAGCCAAAATGGTCACAGTTCGTTGTCTCCTTGCACTTGCTGCCATACATGGCTGGCATTTGCAACAATTTGATGTTAATAACGCTTTCCTTCATGGGGAGCTAGAAGAGGAAATTTATATGTGTAAACCCCCTGGTTATAACAAAGGAATACCCGAACAAGTGTGCAAACTGCTCAAAAGCTTATATGGCCTTAAGCAGGCATCTCGCCAATGGTACTCCAAATTTTCAGACTCACTTATACACTTTGGTTTTCAACAGTCCAAATCAGATTATAGCTTGTTCACTATGATCAAAGAAGATGTTTTTACTGCCTTATTGGTTTATGTGGATGATATTGTGGTTGCTAGTAACTCCATTGATTGTATTAATTCTCTCAAAGTGTTCTTGAATACTGAGTTTAAGATTAAGGATCTTGGTGCCCTTCGTTATTTCCTTGGTATTGAAGTGGCAAGATCCATAAAAGGGATTCATTTATGTCAACGGAAGTATACACTTGACATACTAGCAGATTCAGGTACCCTTGGTTCCAAGCCAGCTAAACTTCCCATGGACCAAAATATCAAGCTTAGCAAAGAATCAGGGTGTATTCTTTCTGATCCAAGCATTTATAGAAGACTTGTAGGAAGGTTATTGTATTTAACTATTACAAGACCTGACATTAGCTATTCGGTGCAAGTACTCAGTCAGTTCATATCTAAGCCAACTGATCTTCACCTACAAGCTGCCCACAAAGTACTGAAATATCTAAAAGGTAGTCCTGGCCAGGGTATTTTACTTTCTTCTTCATCCCCTTTGCAATTAAACGGCTACTGTGATTCTGATTGGGCTTCATGTCCAGACACTCGACGCTCTATCACAGGCTTCTGCATTTTCTTGGGCAACTCTCTTATATCTTGGAAATCCAAGAAACAATCAATTGTTTCTCGCTCATCTGCAGAAGCAGAGTATCGGGCAATGGCAACAACTGTTTCTGAGTTTACTTGGATTAAACAATTGTTAAAAGATCTGCACATTTCTCATTCGTCTGCTGCAATTCTTCACTGCGACAATCAAGCAGCTCTGCATATTGCTGCCAATCCAGTATTCCACGAACGTACTAAACATATAGAGGTTGATTGCCATCTCATTAGAGACAAAATTCAGGAAGGTAGTATCATCACAGCTCATGTACCAACTCATTCACAACTGGCCGACATCTTCACTAAGGCTCTCTCTTCTTCTGTTCTTACTACTCTCCTCTCCAAGATGGGAATAGTAAATATCTATTCTCCATCTTGCGGGGGGGTATTGGATTTCACGTAGATCCCTGACTCAGCTTACATTATGAAGGCTATTTTGGGAATTTTATTTATTTATTTTTTTCTGTTAGCTTCTTGTTAATCAGTTTTGTATTTGTCAATTTTCTATTGGTTGAGTTTGTTATGTATAGAAAGGTGAACATTCCTTCTGTCGTGGTCATAGGCTGTATATAAATAGGCTGGTTCGTTTGTATATTTTTATTCATTCGATTCTAGAATTTTTTTTACTGCCAGTAATAATTTTGAAACATCTTTTCCTATAATTAGAGAAGGTGATATGTTTATATTCTAAAGGTTATCTTCTGAAATTCAGTATTTCTGAATTCTGAGACCCAAAGAAGAGAGCCTATCTTTGTATATCAACTTTGTGGCTCTCATTTGTAAGTCTGACGGAAAACTAGATGTACCCTGGTCAAGTTACAGAGCTAAATCTCGATAAAATATAAAGGCTTAGTTTTTATTTTTCTGATATAAATTAGCTGTTGCGCTATTACTTAGATTTCCCATATCAACTAGAACTATTACATAAAAAATAATAATTTCATAGAAAAATGCATCTACTGAGAAGAGGAGAGAAAATTGAACCCGAGATGAGCTCCAGTACATCTTCTCTCAGGGACCAGAGTAGAGTTTTCCGATTGACATCATTTCTAGACCGCCCGATTTCTCTTCCTCGCTTTTCGTCATTGATTTCGGCTCAAATTTTCTCTGCATACGTAGTTTGTGGAAGGAGGAATGTGGATAGAGATTAGAGAGAGATAAATGGCGGGAAGGAAGAATGAAGTTCTGGCTTATAGGGGAATTTCAGGCGGGCCTCTGAAAATTAATTACCGTTCCACAGATGTTTTCAATTTGAAAAGGGGAAAAAGGTAAACGCCGTTGCCGGGGATCGAACCCGGGTCACCCGCGTGACAGGCGGGAATACTCACCACTATACTACAACGACTTTGTTGGAAGTGACTTGCAAGAAAATCTACTCATTAATTCATGATTTATTTATATTATTTACATATAGTTCCCAAACAC